AATGCTGACCAACACTTCACGATCTTTGACTTTACTTCCTCCAACGCCGATCTAAAATGTTGATGACAAACAACGGCTCGTAAATAAGTACTATAAGCAAATAGGACCTGTCACCATTTTTCTTTGCTTAGTTGTTTTGATAAAACCATATGTTTTAGATGAATTCGCAGCTTAAAAGTGTTATAATATAATACATGTATTTAACTGAAAACATGCACAACTGTGTTCCAGTAGTCGCCATGACGGCATGATGATCCCCCATTTGTTCTGGTGTACCGACAATAGTTTTGCTATAGGGTGTTGCTTTAATCAAACTTTGCTTCAACAATTAATGCACGATGAAGTTCCAGACAAATCACTGATTACGAAAGTGCATTCGTTACTTTGAACAATGTCAAACACAGGGTTTACTTCCTGCGGCTTGGCCCTGATGCTCTTTGCTTACTAACCAATCTCCCCAAGTGTTACATAATCGGAAATAGCATGTTGGTACAATGGTATAAAGTAACACGAAAGTGCAGTACGGCTGGGTACAGAACAAATGTGGGTCACAGACCGTCACACTTCGGTGCGAAAATGGAAAATACATAAGCGAAATGACAGCGGTGTCGCCTACAGAAGTCCTTGCTAAACCATTGGTTCCTAAATGTATATGTAGGAATTCGGTAAGGCACAAGTCAAATCGGGAATGGATATGTTTGAATGAGATCTGAACGCATACTGTTAATGGCTGACATCATTCAACACGCTATTTCACAGACGCGTTCTTATATATATTACCTCTCCTCTTTATGCAACACCCGAACCCATTAGTCGAAACCCAATTTTGAGGTGAAGTGCAAGATAAATGATAAAGGTTACGTTTGCAAAAAATTACTTAAAAATCAGCACATTACCAACGGCAGTAATATTTTTGATGATAATCTTTACTTTACAAAAGAATTATACAGTTTCAGTGACCCACTTCCATCTTATTCCTCCTCCCATTGTTGACATTGCTGTAAACAAATATATTTTAGATATATGATAAAGGTGAAAATCTGCTTATATCAATGAAATTGAGAGGCATCATTCGGAGTAAAACATGACATCAGCCTATGCTTGCTGTAGCTACACTGTATAGGGTGTCCGCCAGCGAACAGTCTACTTTATGAAGTAGATTTACATTGTTTATTATTTTACGGCGAATCTCACGACGAGTCAACTGTCACAAAATCAACCTCAAGTATTAACAAATAAAGTGTTCATCAAACATGCGAAAGTTAACCTGCAAATATTCCGATTTGTTGAGCTTCGAGACTTTTACATTACAAATAAAGAAATGAGGAAGGGGTGCTGTGTAGTGGCGGTATTAGACTAAGTTAGAATGAAGACTTGTTGGTTGTACTTACATGTGTAATTACATGTTATCTACTGCTAGCGCACTGAAAATGTCTAGACAGCACTCTATTTGAAACGTTCTATAAGATAAAGATCTTTCAAAATACACCAAAGGCTTAACACACATATACGATCAAATGTTTATTTGAGACTACCCAAAGCTGATCTAAAGATTGTCAGCGACAGGATGCGTCCATAATTATGATGTTTTCGTGTAATTTTTATTTGCGCTTCACAAACGGCTGAAATAACTTTTTAAGTGTTTAAAACACTTCGTCTCGGTTTTTTAAAACTTTTATGTCTGACATGTATGCCTAATATGTCAACATTTCCAGCAGGATTTGGTCTAGGGGCTTTGAATGTTGTTTGCATATGTAAATGAAGAGAGACACAAGCACTTGCATACTCCTTCAAAATCATAAACAAGATTAGCGTTACCCCTAAAGTCATTCAACCACGTCCAAACATCAGCCACATTTATTAACTAAATAAATATTGTTAGTAATAGAATTATATGAATACTTCCCTGGGTCGAAGGGAATGCCCGCATCAACAAGATGGACATGGCATTGTAAAATCATCTATAAAAGATAGCGATAACCATTGTTTAATGACCCGTTTTTAGGAGGCACGGTAGTTCAGCGGTAGCACGCCGGGTTCGTGACCGAAGGGTTGCGGGTTCGCTCCACGGCACGGCAATGTGTTGTATCTTTGAGCAAGATACGTTACCCCGCTTGTTCCAGTCTATTCAGCTGTAAATGAGTACGTGGTCGGGCAGTGCTAGAATTGTTGAGGGAAAGCTGTTAGCGCCGAGATGGCAGCTCCGGCTGTATTCTCCCAAGGGAGTTGAGAAATGTATTGGCTAGTTGCAAAGGCCCTATAACCACGGAAATAATTTGTGAACCGTTTTGAGACGACCTACGAACTAGGTTGTGATAAAGCGGTATATAAGAACCTCCGATTATTATTATTATTATTTTTATTATTATGTTTGTAAGCTTCTGTTGATTTCTGTTTTTTTCGTCGATGTAAGGCAAACATAAGATTTGTTTTATATTTTAATTCAATGGAGATAACTCTTCAAATAATCCCCCCCCCCCAGGTTATACCGTATGACCTTAAACAGAAACACAAAAAAAATTGCGATCGTATACCGCAATGGTTGAGTCGGTTTTTGTAATTTTAACTTCTGATTGTTTGAAATTGCTCAGTGATGAAATTACAGCGCAATATGTCATGTTTAGTATAAACGTGGACACCGTTTTATCGGTATATACCGTATAACCCCAAAGCATTTACGGTAATTCTTAAAATAAAACAAAGAGTAGTTAAAATGAAATAAAACTAAGATTAAACGAGATTTCTATTGTTTACAAGATATATCCTTAATTGATAGATATAGAATGTTTTTACTAGAACAGTTTCGTCGGGATGAAGAGCCAACACAGAGCAGTAGTTTGATATTTGTTTAGGATGAATTATGTCATACTTAACAAACTTTAACCCTACTTTCGAGGAGGTTAAACCTCTAGTTTACTATCCGTACTTCCCAGATAGCTGTACTTCTGAATTGGCTATTTCAACAACTATACCGCACAATGTGACATGTTGGGTTTGATATATAATTAGAATCATATCGGCCGAGCTAGTCATTATTTGCTTCAATGTGACGCCGATTATTGTTCGGCTATAGAGGCGATGATAGAACATCCGCTTTCCATTTAATATTCATTTTCCCCAAAGCATAAGGAAATAGAAATGAATCTTGAAGGAAAACGGTCACCGTCCAACAGTCGGATAGAAGCTGAGACCATCACCGTATGAAATGATAAGTAGAAAACACAGCCATGTAGCTAACATTGTTACACCTGGCATGTGTATGTAAGAAAAGGGTGGATGAGAGTATTAAGGAAAATAGTCAAGTATCAACAGCTACTGGACGTCTGTTAGTCTGCAGGCGACTGTGCCAGAATAATATCTAACAATCCCCTACTGTGACCCTTGGTTATCTTTTAGAGAAATCCATGGAAGGGTGATTAAATAATAGAATATTGTTAATTCTTTCATATGTCCAAATAGAATTAAATATATCAGCTGTAAGTGTTCTGAAAGAACCGTGAAAAGGCATTCTTTATCTCCGAAAAGTATAAATTGATCATTGCTAGCCTGACATTATATGATGGACTTTTGTGGATCAATGTCGTTTGTTTTCTCAAATTTAGTTTTTGTGACTAATTCCTGTATCATTAATTTGGAGTCGGAGCATTCCTGCCGCTTGAATTTGCAATAAAGCATCTCAAGGTAATAAACGCCTACCACGAAGTACATTAGACAGAGAGTCGGACAGGTTTCATATTGGTTAAGAAAGAAGGGTAAAGTAAACTGAAAACATATTATGTGACAACAGATCGAGAACAAAACAAATATGATATGTTTGTTAAGTCGGTAGTAAAAGATGTGTAGTCCACACCGTTGTAACAGATAGATCAGTGTTAAACCAGGGGGACGTTCCCGACTAGAACCAGAACCAGTAGATGACTACGACAGGTTGAGACCGACCACCTCAACACGCGCAAATCTCTAACCCGTTATGCAAAGTCCACCCGATGGAGAAACAAATCTGTGTCGTATGACAAAGACTGCATCCATTTATCGCTCTCCGAGCAGTTGGACCAGAGTTATTCGTTTACCAAATAGGGACGGACCCAGTGAACTGATGCTGCTTTCTAACGTGCTTTTGGAAAGACATTAAAGGCCTTTATTGGCATTTTCAGGTCCGTCAGAACCGGTTTTATCATTAGAAATTGTGTGTCCTGTCACATTGTAGCAACAGTTTAAATCAAAGCATATCAATGTCAGGGCATTTCAGCTGACTTGCTGCTGTCCCGGAATGCTAAGCGTCAAACTTTCCAAGCTTGGGTCGTTCATCCTGCATACTTACAAAGGATCATTTACGTACCTTCCGTGTCGTTTTGAGCGGAACGCACAGGCATTATCAAGTCCCGATAACGAAGTTGGCACATAGCGTGTTTGCATTGGTTTTTGGGTCAACTCCCTTTTGGGAGTCGTGCTCATTGCGATTAGCCGAGTGTTTTTGCCCGTCACCTCTTTAACGCTCTGAACATATATTCTTACCCCCTAAGATATAGTCTTGATACTTTGAACACAGCTACTGCTGTTTAGCTGATATTTATTTAACGTATAATAAAGTCAGTGATGCTGATGTATTATTTATTTTCTGTGGAGATGTTTTCAGAACCGCAGATATTGCAAGATTTTGCTTATATAAGATATGTAGGTGTATTTTGATACTGCGAACTATAATTATGTTTAGTCATTAAACAAGATGGCTGCCATTGACTGGCTTCTAATTGCTCAAGACTCAGATATTGTCCTATTTCAAGGCACTCTGAACTCCAACAGAGTTCCATTTAGTCCCTGAATAAGATGGTTGCTGTGTTCCGGTATCTAAGTTTAGACATTTTAAAATTTAACGCGAATTTTGTATATAAGTGTATTATGGCATGGAGAACTCTTTCCGACTCACCGCTTATGACTAAGAGGACAATTTGGGGGATTTGTTTATAGGTTTCAGTTACATTTAAAACGTCTTTACATACCTTCCTCGTCCTCCTTTACTGATCTCACCGCCAATAGTACAGCCAGTACAATAACTGTGACCACGAGACAGAACAGGATCACCAGCATGGCCTTTTCCATCTTGGAACGCCTTCCGAACCATCCTTTCTTCTCAAAACTGAAACAAAACGTGATGGAGATAATATTTTCTGTAGATTGAAGCAAAGTTATTTCATTCTGGTCAGAACGAGTTACTGCACAAACAGATCTATGTTGACCTAGTACGCTGTTTTCGAGAAAGGTGTGTAGAAATGAATGGAGGCCGATGGCACTTATTTTATTGTTCAGTGTCTGGGAAATATGGGAAAATGTACAGAAAGTCGACATTACTTATCTTCAGGGTAATTTGTGTGGGGAAATAGCAGAAGACCTAAAACACGATGTTGCTCGAAAATATATATGCATAGTTTTAAAAATCCGAGGACTTAGGTCGATTGTAGATAGAGTCTATGGTACTTATTTTTCAAGGGAGGGGGGGGGGGGGGGGGGGGGCTTTTTTATCTTGAAAATGAAAAAGATAAAAAACACCGGAAAAAAAAGAGAAGGACGATGCAGCAATGCTCCATGAAAAATAGTCTGGAGATTCAAAGGGAGTGGTCTTTACACACAGAGGCTCAGATCGATGTTTTTGTTTATTTTCTGTTAAAACAGTGTTATGCATTGAAGAGAAAGGTTTTTCTCCCCATTTTCAAAGTAGAGAGAAATATATGGGAAGATAGAGATATTTTAGTTGGTAGTTTAAAGCCAGTATCGGGCACTTGTGTTTATAACTTCAAATACTAAGTGTTGTGCCCCTGTGTTTATGACCAGACTTAAAAAGTGTATATGGTCCACATGTGTATGATTACAAAGAGTAAGTGTCGGCCCCTGAGTGTCCATCCTCATATAGTTAGTATCGGGCTCTTATGTGCATATATAGTTTGTTTCTATTTTTTTTCTGATCAGCTCATTATTTAGGGGATGAGGGGTCCGCTTTTGGGGAGACGATCCCACTCCAACCTTACAATTATTTGCCTCATTTGCAAAGCAAAACGTATATCTGCAGCAGCTTTTGGAGGGGTTTTCTTCTCAACCACAACTCCCCTCGGGGTTTTGCTACTTGACCCTGACCACTGGGCTTTCGCCCGATGGACACGCAACCTCCATTACAAATTATAGATCCGCCCCTGTGAAATATATATATATTGGTTTTTTTTTAAAATGATTAACCATCTTAGTCCTAATTATCTTTTTGAAATTGTTGAACCTTATATAGTCAGCAATGATGCTACGACCCTTCATGTCCAAAATCAACGTATATTTGAACCATCACTATGTAGATCTATTGCATATTTCAACAGTTTCTTTCCTAGCATAATGTCTTGGTGGAATAGACCTGAATGTAACTATTATAATTTGAGATCTATTGGTGAACTCAAAAAACAACTTGTTCATCATGCCATACCCCAAAATAATCAAAATAATGAAGATATATATATTAAGATTTTAAAATATGAAGGGACTAGATGTTTTAACATAATATTATGTCAACTTCGAAATCGTGCAGGTCAGTTGAACTTTGATCTCTTTAGAGACCATCTTAATGATAATCCCTCCTGTATATGTGGTTACATTAATGAAGATGTGAGTCACTTCTTTCTGCATTGCCCTAGATATATGACTCAAAGACAAAAAAACTATATATCTGTGTCTCCTTTACAGCCTGACACAAACTTAAATTTACATTTAAACTTGTACCTAAACATTTATGAACATCTAATGTTTAATATTAATATAATGACTAAAGGAGGTAGTTTCCTTAGTGAATATCTTTACTCCGCTATTCGTGTTTGTGTTCAGAGATACATAGAATCAAACAGATTTTGAAATATCTTATATATGCATGAATATATATGTATGCACGCATGCATGTATGTATGTATGTATGAATATATGTATGTTTGTACATGTATGTATGCATGTATGTGTGTATGTTTGGTGTCTCCTATCATCATTGGCACTGATCTAATTATTATGTTCCTAAAGCATGTTCATTGTGTAAATATTCATAGTTCATTATATTGCTATTGTTTGAGATGTACCTCATGGGAGAGGGCTTGTATAGGCTTGGCCTGTTGCCCAATTCCTATTAAAACTGATTGATTTAATAAAATAGTTTGAAATGAAAAATGTAAAATAGTCCATGTAGCACACGTCACCGCGAAAATTTCTACTCTCGCTTGCATGTCATTAAATAAGAAATATGTACAAGTAGTTAAGTGCTAAATAGAAATAGATTTAAGTAATTTTCAGGTAAATAATTATAATGTCAGTCTAAAGGTTCCCTGTCCAACTACACGTTGGTTTATCTCTATACAGTAACCTCCCCTTAACGTCCATCCCTGTCCCACTGCACTGTTTATTTTCCTATATACAGTAACCGCCCCTTACCTTCCATCCCTGTCCCACCACACGTTGGTTTACCTATATACAGTAACCTCCCCTTAACTTCCATCCCTGTCCCACTACACGTTGGTTTACCTATATACAGTAACCTCCCCTTAACTTCCATCCCTGTCCCACTACACGTTGGTTTACCTATATACAGTAACCTCCCCTTAACTTCCATCCCTGTCCCACTACACGTTGGTTTACCTATATACAGTAACCTCCCCTTAACTTCCATCCCTGTCCCACTACACGTTGGTTTACCTATATACAGTAACCTTCCCTTAACTTCCGTCCCTGTCCCACTGCACTGTTTATTTTCCTATATACAGTAACCTCCCCTTAACTTCCATCCCTGTCCCACTACACTGTTTATTTTCCTATATACAGTAACCTCCCCTTAACTTCCATCCCTGTCCCACTACACTGTTTATTTTCCTATATACAGTAACCTCCCCTTAACTTCCATCCCTGTCCCACTGCACTGTTTATTTTCCTATATACAGTAACCTCCCCTTAACTTCCATCCCTGTCCCACTGCACTGTTTATTTTCCTATATACAGTAACCTCCCCTTAACTTCCATCCCTGTCCCACTGCACTGTTTATTTTCCTATATACAGTAACCTCCCCTTAACTTCCATCCCTGTCCCACTGCACTGTTTATTTTCCTATATACAGTAACCTCCCCTTAACTTCCATCCCTGTCCCACTACACTGTTTATTTTCCTATATACAGTAACCTCCCCTTAACTTCCATCCCTGTCCCACTGCACTGTTTATTTTCCTATATACAGTAACCTCCCCTTAACTTCCATCCCTGTCCCACTGCACTGTTTATTTTCCTATATACAGTAACCTCCCCTTAACTTCCATCCCTGTCCCACTACACTGTTTATTTTCCTATATACAGTAACCTCCCCTTAACTTCCATCCCTGTCCCACTGCACTGTTTATTTTCCTATATACAGTAACCTCCCCTTAACTTCCATCCCTGTCCCACTACACTGTTTATTTTCCTATATACAGTAACCTCCCCTTAACTTCCATCCCTGTCCCACTGCACTGTTTATTTTCCTATATACAGTAACCTCCCCTTAACTTCCATCCCTGTCCCACTACACGTTGGTTTACCTATATACAGTAACCTTCCCTTAACTTCCGTCCCTGTCCCACTGCACTGTTTATTTTCCTATATACAGTAACCTCTCCCTAACTTCCATTCCTGTCCCATTGCACTGTTTATTTTCCTATATACAGTAACCTCTCCTTAGCTTCCGTTTGGAACACTTCCATTGACTAGATAACTCAAATGGTTAGCGCAATAGCATAAGTACAGAGTTCGAATTCCGGTCTGACCCCTCTGAATTTTTACGCTCAGAACACTGTTGTTGATTAATATCTTGTGTATTTCATTTTTGTATTTCTCATAAAAGAGCCGCAAGGTATATTTTTCTTTTTAGAAATGATTTCGCAAAGCTATTGCCATGCCGGCAAAAATAATGTCCAATACTTAGTTAAAGTTTTGGACAGTGGAATCATTAGAAACTTTTAAAAAGGTTAGAAAATGAAAACGTTCCAAACAGAACAGGTACGTGTTAACCTAAACCAGTCTTCATTGTCGCATTTAAAACAGTTAATGTATTCAATAGCGACTTTTCAATTGAATTTAAATCCTAATTTTATCGACACAGTACACATACCTCGTGGTAAAACATAATTGGTGTGTTAATTTTGCTAAGCATTTTGGCATTACGAATCTAAAGACAACAGGTTAATTGACGGTCGATATTTGGACCGTACGGGTACACATGTACCTGATCGTCAACTTCATTTACAGCTGACCTATGATACAGAAGGGAGCTCGGATAGCTATAGGCACGATCGGGAAACATGAAACTTGAAGCCGTAGAGGCAAATTCTAATTTCAACATTAAACTGAGAGCGGCCGTTTACCTGTTTAGTATGTAAATTGAAAGCCAGGTACCTGCTAAACAGCGTGTTAAACTAGTTGTAAGATTTTGGTGGCTTACCCATACACGACATTTCGTCTTTACGCTTTGTCGTCCACGAAAAATCGCAAAGCGACAAAAATAAACAATGAAAGACGAAAACCCGCAAAAGCGAAATAACCGGCAAATTCTAAACCGACGTAAAAATTGGTAGCTGAAAGCTTTTTGTTGTATTATGTGTCTGCGATATTTAGGTAAGAAAATCTTGCCTCAATAATGTAAAATAAAAAATAATGTTGCTCATTTCACTTTCCACCTCGCCTAAGTAATTCTAGATCATTTTTGTACATTTTTATTTTCTCTCGTCGTATCATTTTACTTATTTATAATACGACCGCTTCGCTCAGCTCCACATACACTCACGACAATCAGAACATTATTAATGGAATAAACATATAACATTATTGTGTATTTTCTCTTTATTTTATAGGACTTAGATGTTGTTGTGGGGAATATTACGGTGAGATAGGAGTTACGCATGTGCTATTGTATAAAACACCTGACGTTAACGAACCGTACACGTGTAAAGGTAAGTAGGTACAGTAATAGGATGTGGAGAAATAAATTGGACAAAAACAGGAAACTGGAAAAAATCAAACAAACAAATGGCTATCTGTATTGTTGACTAGAACGATCCATAAGGTAGGCGGACCTGGTGCATCTGTGTGACTAACGATCAT